CTCCTCCTCCTCCTCCTCCTCCTCCTCCTCCTCAGCTTTTAGTGTTTTTGGTTTTATGACAATGTTTGAGTCTTATTTGTTCTGCTTTGTTGTCATTCTCTAACTCCCCTGATTAGTAGCATGTTGTAATAGTCTACTTGTGTGTGCACGATTCTTCAGAAACTGTTCTTTCTGGCCACTAATTTCAGTTTGCCAATCATCTGTAAAAAGAGAAGTCTTATCAGTGTTATTTGTGTCTAGAGAAACCTTTTATTTAATTGTTTGTTTCCTTTTTTTTAATTTAATGCCCGCATGATAACTGCAGCAGACCTCAGGAGTAGACCAGATTTCTTACTCAAAAAATTGTAAACAAATATCTCCAATTGACATATCAGTTTACGTTCTGCTAGCAAAGCTACTTAAGGATCTAGTGCTGCTAATGAATTTATAGGCGATTCTTCTCTTCATTAGATTTACATTGACCACTGCCTATAGCTCCCTTTGACCGCCTCGTTAAAAGCCTTTAGAAAGACATTAAGTAAAAGAAATTGTCTAAGCCCCAACTAAGCCAAACATGAGGGCAGCACTGGATATCTCACTTTCAACCATGTGATATTGAGATCCCACTCCTCAGTCCCTGTAAATACACCAACTCCCACCCGCTACAGTCCTGTCAGTGAGCTATACATTAAGAAATACAAATACACATGCTTACAGGAGAAACATACAAAGATAATATCTCAGAATTAAAAACATGACGACAGATTGTTCCTGCAGGAGTCGATATTTGTCCCTGTCCTTTCAATAATAATAAAAAACACAGAAGTCAGGTTTCAAGAAGAGGAGGAGGAGGAGGAGGGAGATGGACGTTATTGTACATACAGTCTGTTCTGGGATCAGTGTGGTAGATATCTCTCATTGAAAACATTCCTCTCAGCTCCTCTTGCTCTTTGCATTTTTTTTTTTTCTTGAACTAACATGTTGAGCATTGAAACTCGAAAGTGTCTCAACATTTGCTATAGATTAGTTGAAGTGTCATGTATGTGTGATTCAGAAGACAAAGGAGAACCTGTTGACACGGGAGAACAAAGTGAGATGGAGAAGGAAGTTGCTCTAGTTGCGTTAGCCTTGATGCCAGTAGTTAATTAATGAAGCTGCTAGCATGTAGCCTGCAGAACGGATGATGATAGTCTGACCCATGACTCACTCAGTGAAATACTTCATGTTCTGCAGCACTGTAGGTTACATATTTTTTTTTTTCATCTAACTCTCATTGTTTGAATTTTTTTAATTATTAACACGGGTGATTTTTTTTTATTATGCTTTAACCATTCCATAGTGAAGTTTTATATGAAATGTAACAGAGGGCATTGATGACCTAATTTGTAACCAACTATATTGGTGTTAAACCTTATTTTGCACATTAACACATATCTATAGCAAGACGAGGGCAGATCATCACACATGTTGAATCCAGGATTATTTTTGAGTATCAGGATCACTGATAAGAGCACATATCATGGCTACACTGGATAGCTGTTTGTCGAAAAGGCTTACGAGAAAGAAGACAGAAAGAAGGAAGAGATATTAAAGGGAAGACATACTCAAAGGTTTTATTTTATGCATTGTTTGTGAATATTTTTGCTCTGTACATCGAACTAAAGCTGCTACATTTGGCTCCTGATAATTGGCGCTTTTGGTGCCTCTGTTTCTACAAATGGTACGAGTGGGACGCGTACAGCTGGGTGTTAAAAACTCTGGCCAGCCAACCAGTAGTAATGCCTGCTGTATTGTGTGAAGGGGTCAAATGTGTTGAAACAAAGGTAGCCATGCCTGTTACAAGTAACAGTGGAATTATTTGAGATGATTTGTCATTGATGCTGATATAAGAACGGAAAACATTTTCCTCAGAAGTCAGAGTGAGTTAAACTTGCAGGGTTTGTGTCCTCAGGTCAGCCAACCTGCTGGTCACAGAAACCAACAATCGAATCAAAATGTTTCTGAGAAATGTTTTTGACTGTATGAAAGGAGAACATGAAGAAAACAAAATACTTGTATGTACTGATTGAGTCTTGAAGTGCATATGTACCTCACATATGTGAGCTACATATCGACCTGATGATGTCTGACAGAGCAAACATTTTCACTTCAGTGACTTATTTGCAGAGGTCTATTTGGATTGTGTGTATTTATTGTTTGCAATGTATATATTAGTTTGCAGCTCTTTGCACATATCAATAAAAGGTTCAACTAACTGATCAAATAAAGTCTATGCGGTCTAGTTGTTCTACTCAGAGTGAACCAAAAGAAGGTGTGGCAGCCTCTGCCAGTCTGGAGAGTGTCGAATGTACTATGAACATGTTTTTCCATCATTTAAAAAAAAAAAGGAAAAAAAAAGAGAACTGAAATGTAACCTGCTGCTTCTTTTCAGGGCAGGTGAGTTACAGAAGTAAGTTATTAGAAAGTGGTTTTAGTGAAAGTCTCATTTACTGCTCATGCTAGACAGCCACTTCATTAGAACTAGATAAAGGTGGTTTTACTATTTTTTTCTAATATCAGGGAATAGAATACAAAGTAGCTAGTGACATCTAAAATGACAGTATACTATTGTTCTGCTGGTGTCTTTCTTCACCTCAACACTTTTTTCCGTTGATGCCTTTCAAACAAAACTAGCCAGGATATTTCCCATTATCCCCTCTTAAGATTAATATCAGTTAACAGCGCTCCCTTACGATTTGTTCACCCACAGAAATGACACACCATGGCATTAAACACTGTACATTAATTGTCAGACTGGTTTCATTTTCATACTTATTTTGTAAATATCTGTGTTGTATGGAGCTTGAATTAAAATGTAAATATGTTTACTGTATTTGTAATAAATATAATCCATTCGCTGTATAGCATAGATGTGTCATGCAGATATCCTAATTCTGTGTATGGTAATCTTGCACCATTGAACTGTTTAGTGAATGAGGCAACAATAAAAAAGCAAACAAGCAGAACAAGTGCCGCCTGTTTGTCTACTCCTTTGGCACAGTTTACTCCAGTTTTTCACATGATTTTATGTGTCACAACTGCCTGACATCTCTGCCAGGAATTAATTAATTAATTATACAGTATATGCATATATTTTAAGTTAAATGTAGGTAATTATACCTTAGTAGGTCCGTCTTGACTTGACTTTGACTCAAAATGATGAGGCTAGGTTTAATTATCTTCTTATTTTTCCAGACTATTGGCTCTAAATGTACATAACCTTTTTGATTCATCTCTTAATTTTGTCTCTCTTTTTTGTTCAATTTTGACTTGCATAGGAACTAGATTGACTCTTTTTCACTTATTTCTTAGTTTTAATTCGTATCCTAATTCTGAATTTGTATTTGAGAATTGAGTATTTTTACTTTTACCATTCCCAACTTTACAGGATCTTATCTTTTTCTGGGAGGGAGTTTTAACACTTTTCTAAGTAAGAACTCCTTTTCTGTGAAACTTAGACCTCATAAACAATACTGTGCTATATGTAAATAACATTGTTAGATACACTTTTTCATTGCACTGAAGAGAATATTATACAACGCTGAGGATCTGGATTATTTCCCAAGCACAACTTCCTCATTCATGTCCATCATGCCTGTAGATTTCCTTGAACTGGCAAAGTGCCGAGTCATTTTCCTTGACATCTGTCATAGATTTCCAGTGATTATGGAAGTAATGGGGGATAGTTTATTAGCTGTGTGAAATCTTAGTCTGTGGGGTTCTCAGTGTAAGTGAAGAAAGACTACTAAGTAAGCAATATTACTAAAGCTTTGTGCTTGTTGTGAATTGTATGATATATGATTCCATAAAAGCAGAAATGAGCACACAAAATGATTTATATTTTATATAATAAATTATATTCTATAGCCATGGTTGTATTAACCTGCGTGGTTGCACAGAATCAAATGATCCGCTTGATTCTCCCACCACTGGCCCAGGGTTTGTGAAGGTGAAATATGCAGGAATTTATCCCTGAAGGCAGATTTTGAAAGCGGGTGTCTCTTCAACACTGGACTCTACAATTAGGTATAACACATAGAACCGTCTCAAGGCCTCAAGCCTTGTCAAACTTAAGCTGCACACGTTTCTAAACAATATTCCATATAGGAACACTAAAAGTTCAAATTTAAAAATCTATGGGATTTCATTTGAAACCCTTTTGGGACAGCAGCGTGTCTTATAATTATGTAGCTGTAAGTACAGTCTTATGATATGACATCACTTTGATAGAAACTATGATTAGTCAAAGGATAATATCTATATCTGCTGTAATTGTTTGTTTTTGTGACTTTCACAGTGTTGTATCAAGTATGGTATTTCCTGAAACCTAACCAGGGACAAGGACTGCAAGGCTAGAAGTACATTACATGGGTTAAATTAAATGTAACAATGCCTATATGTATTGTCCCTTACAAATAAACTGATAAATACAAATGAAATAGATAAATAAGTATAGAGTTGAAAAGGTGCTTTTCACGTTGAGAGTTGAATGTTTTGAATAACAACACTTTACTTTATTTTCCTTTCTTTATATAAATATATATATATATATACAATATAGGTTTAAGTTTATTTGTATTTACTGTTCTAGTCTGACGATAAGTAGGCATATTGGAAAACCTATCGCTGTGCATAGCAAACAAACAAAAAAATCACCATTTCTGAAGTGAAGTACAACATTCAAAGTAGCAGCACTTGTGAATGTAATAAAAATTCAATACAAATTATTTCTACTTTTATTAAAATAAAGGGTATCACATTCTCTTGTGGGTGCGTGCTTTAAAATGATGGACCGCCAGTTAAGCCAATAGGAGAATGGATACCTCTGCTCAGGATTTTTGCACCAATAGAAATTCGCTAATGACATCGCGTCAGTCAGCTGAACCTCATCTGATTGGCGAAACATCTACATGGGCGTACGTAAGCTCCCCCCCCCCCTCACCCCGTTACGTTGGAAAGGGAATAAGGAAGTACAAAAAACTAGCAAGAAGGAAACGAGGAAATCCAAGTGAGGTGGATTGTAGTCCGAGCCCGACTGTCATTTGAACACTGTTACTTCAACGTTACCCAACCCACTGAGCACCATGGCTGAGTAAGTTCTCCAATGAGTTTATTACTTATTTATGCTGTCGGTAAAGGGAAGCTGAAGCCGCTGATTTATCATTTTACACTTTTTAAGTCGTTTTAAAAAAAAAATCTGATTTATTTTGATCAACTGAGCTGCTAACTTGTTTTAGTGTTCAGTGAAAATATCTAAATCTAATGTGAAAATATAGCGTGATGAATTGAACGATGTGTTTTTCTGTTTGCCCTCGGGGAAAGCTCTACGTAGGCTTTGAAATGACAACTTGTGTAATGTCTGTGTGACTTTTATATCCTTGTTTTCACTTCCTTCATGAGATAAAACATTAGGGTTCAAGATGCACTACAGTGACTTGCAATAAGTCTGAGACCTGAGAGAGTCTGAGAGATGTATGGAAGCAACAGTGGACAGTTTGGTGCATGTTGATGCTGTAACCAGATGCACATCAGAGTTTTTCAGTAAACGTCATGATGTCTTTCTCTTCACAGAGCAGACATTGCACTGATTGGTTTGGCTGTCATGGGCCAAAACATCGTCATGAACATGAACGACCATGGCTTTGTGGTAAGATAATCATTTTTGTTTTCATTCATTCCCCTTCTGGCAGCGAAATCTGTTCTTCTGTCCTCTTTATTTCACTTCGTCGTTTCCAAAACGCTTCCAACAGGTCTGCGCCTACAACAGAACAGTGTCTAAGGTGCACGACTTCCTGAAGAACGAGGCAAAGGGCTCCAAGGTGATCGGAGCCGAGTCTTTGGAGGACATGGTGTCCAAGCTCAAGAAGCCCAGGAGGATCATCCTGCTGGTCAAGGCTGGACAGGCTGTGGATGACTTCATTGACAAACTGGTGCGTAGTTTGTGCGTAACCTTGTGAGATCGTTTTGGAATATCAATCTCTTACGAGGTTTGTGCTCTTTTTTTTTTTTTAAGGTTCCTCTTCTTGAAACTGGGGACATCATCATTGATGGCGGAAATTCTGAATACAGAGACACAACGGTAAGTCACAGAGAATCGCTGTGTCTTGCAGTGAATCCTTCTTTTTGATGGGGGATATTCTCATGGTTCTTATGTGTTTATTCAATTCAGCGGCGGTGTAAGAGCCTGAAAGAGAAGGGCCTGTTATTTGTGGGCAGTGGCGTCAGTGGTGGAGAGGAAGGGGCACGTTATGGACCCTCACTTATGCCAGGAGGACACAAGGATGCATGGTGAGTCTTCACAAGCTTTGTGTTTGCACTTCATGACACTTTCGGCTTCACAGGCTTACCAAAATAAAAGCAGTTACTACTGATAAAGTTGGACATGTGTGAGACCTTGGACATTGTAAAAACAGTTTTCAGAATCTCTATCCGTCCGTCTTTTTGAGTACAAGTTAATCAATCTTAACACCTGTTGATGCTTTTATTTTTTTCAGGCCACACATAAAAGACATCTTCCAGAGCATCGCTGCAAAGGTTGGGACAGGAGAACCATGCTGCGACTGGGTGAGTGCTATTCTGTTTTTGGTGTGTATGTTGTGGTTTTTTTTGCACTGTTTGGTTGCAGCAGTTATTAGAATGTCAAGTCATCTCTGATTATGTCTGCAGGTTGGAGATGAGGGCGCAGGTCACTTTGTGAAAATGGTCCATAATGGCATTGAGTATGGCGACATGCAGTTGATTTGTGAGGCCTATCACCTGATGAAGGATGTTTTGGGTATGGACCACGATGAGATGGCCCAGGTGAGCTGTAATGTGACATATTTTTGAGGGCATTTCAAGTCTGTATGATAAAATGAAGGGACTATGTCAACGCACTGTTTGAAACACTCAGGCTTTCGACAAATGGAACAAGACAGAGCTGGACTCCTTCCTGATCGAGATCACGGCTAACATCCTGAAATTCAGGGACTCTGATGGCACCCATCTGCTGCCCAAGATCAAAGACAGTGCCGGACAGAAGGGCACAGGGAAGTGGACGGCTATCTCAGCCCTGGAGTATGGCACACCTGTCACTTTGATCGGTAAGAGGAAGCAAGGAGGTTTAAGACGAGGAAGTATCTGGTTTACTTCTCTCGGCTTTCAGTAAACTGTTTGTCATGATGACATAGCAGAAGATGGCATTTCACACCTGCTAGTTTTTTTTTTTATCATGGCTTTAACAAATTCAAGCGCATTAAGCCACATAATTACAGTAGTTTGGCGCATGTTTAGCTTTGCTTAGCTTAGCTGACACACATGCATGCTGATGTAGCTCTTTCTAAGGAACATGATCGATATGCTGCTGCCACTAACAAGATTGAAGGCTTTTCTAGAGGGCTGCTCATCTCGAGTGACATAAGGGGGATTTGTGATCCCCCCCCCCCCATAGCTTTGGTGTTTGCTCTGATGTCTAACAGACTGTTTCATAAACAGAAAAGACGCGGTGGGGTCAGAAAGCATGGTTAGTAATCCAAAACGTGATGTAATAACAGCTGAGCAGCGTGGGCTCCCCTCTACACACACACACACACACACACACACACACACACACCTTATTACATTGCATTACATGCATCATAAACTAAGTGAAGTTCAATCCAGTAAATATTTTCAGCATGTCACCAAATCCCTGCTAACAGTTTTTTAAACGAGATGTCTTTAAAATGACATGAGTGCGTTTGCCCACTCCCCCTCAGCGCAGTGGATCCTCTCGTTACAGGAAGAGATAAAGGCCTCATTGTGTGAGAGCTGCTGAGCCAGTCTGTGTGGAGCAGGCTGACAGGCCTGTACAGTAGTCGTGGGTGGATTTCTGCCCCAAAAGGGATACATTCCTCAACTGGATAGTTCAATCACCAGAGACATTTTCCCTCAGTCCCTCTGTGTCTGCCCGTCCCGCTGTCTGTGGGTTATATCACAGAGCTGTGAGGTTTTTAACGAGTCATGCTTACCCTGCAGTTTTTCCTTTCATCTATATAGAACAACAAGTGGCATTGAGATCACTTTTAACGTTGCAACTGGCAAACCTTGCACCTAACTAACGCACAGGTGGCAAGCCCTGTATTTACAACACTATCATTGTTACTGCTGAGTCATGCTGATCCATGGTTTTGTTTGTATCATAGCATGATATCTCTGCAGCTTAAAACTGCTTGTTGCGCAACATTTGTTGTAAGCGGATACAGAAACTCTAAATTACTGGTCACTGGCTCCTCTTTCATGTTCGCAGAGCCGTGTTTTATCACATTACTGTCCAAAAATGGGACAAGTGCACTGTGCAGAAACCTAACCTTGTTCTCCCTCTCTTTTTCCGCTTCCTCATGCTCCCCTCCCCTCCGTTGTTTTTCAGGTGAGGCTGTCTTTGCCAGATGCCTGTCCTCTCTCAAGGACGAGAGAGTGGAGGCCAGCCGCAGCCTTTCAGGCCCTCAGGGGGTCAAATTTAGCGGGGACAAGGCTGTTTTCCTTGAGGACATCAGAAAGGTAGATTACACAGTGACACACATTACACTTCACAGTTTATTCCAGGACACCTTGGTAAAACTCAAGTTTTTTAAGAAAGCAATATTGTAGAGAATGTAGCTTCATGGAGGTTATCTGTTTTGAATTCTTTCCAAACAAAAACATTTGGCTGTTCTTCTGCTAATTTGTGAAAGTGAAATATACCTTTGAACTAACTTCCATTATTTGACTAAATAAAATATGATCAACATCTCTTTCTCCAGGCCCTCTATGCATCCAAGATCATTTCCTACGCACAGGGCTTCATGCTGCTGCGGCAGGCAGCCAAAGAGTTCGGCTGGTCTCTTAACTACGGTGCGATTGCTCTGATGTGGAGAGGCGGCTGCATCATCCGAAGGTACATTCAGCTTCATGTGTCCTCATAACCAGAGTTTGCCCTATGTCAACAGACTTCTTTCACACTGTTGCACTGTGCAACCACCAGCTTTCCCCATCAAAGAAAGCCTTGTGAAAGCAAGAACAACCTGGATACGTTTTTGATGAGTCTATTTACTTTTTAAGGTTTGGGAAAGTTAAAGGTTTTATATGTTGTGCCATACAGGGAATCATTAACTATATGTTGCCCATTCTTTTGTAATTCTGGAGGAGGGAGAAATTCAGATTAATGAAGTTTCTATAAAAATCGGCTGAGAAGAGAATGAGGAAATGCTGGTTGTGACACTGGTAGACTTTGGCAAAGATGTTGCTTAACCTAAATCAAATACAGCACTCAGAATGACATTCAGCATGTTGTCACCACTCAAACTGAGCATGCTGCATGATTGAATGGAAAACACGGTCATGGTATTTTACTGTGAATCTTTTCCTTGTTTCTGTCACCATTGTTGGGTAACGCTGCCCTCTCCTCACCAGTGTCTTCCTGGGTAAAATCAAAGAGGCGTTTGACCGAGACGCTGAGCTGCAGAACTTGCTGCTGGACACTTTCTTCACTGATGCTGTGCAGGACTGTCAGGTATGAGGAAGGAGGAAGTGGCCAAAGAACAATCTGCAATACCCCCATTGACAAAGACACAAAAAAAGAAGCAATTTCCTCTTTCACAAGGAAAGGTTTGAAAAGTACCAAAGATTGATTCAAATGTCAGCTGAAAGAGAAGCTGTTTATTGGCAATTATTTTTCAAACTGAAGCAACAGTGGATTTATTTATTGTTTATACGTCATCAAAAAAGTATTCTGAGACTGATTTCTTGGTTAAGGTCTCCCATCAAGACCTAGACTGATCTTCTTGGTGTTACAAATGCTTACACAGACTTAAGACCCACAACAATCTCATTTGTAAATCGACACTGGCTATAATGCATTGACCCAGTAATGACCTTTTAGATCTTGGCTTTCAGAACACTTATACCGTCTTACATTACGTCCATTAACAACTATTTTTGGTATCATGTTTAATCTCTGTGTTTAGGAGTCATGGCGCAGAACAGTGAGCACTGGAGTCCAGTATGGCATCCCCATGCCCTGTTTTACCACAGCTCTGTCCTTCTACGATGGTTACAGACATGGAATGCTGCCAGCAAACCTCCTACAGGTAAGAAAACAGTGGATGCTGCAGAGCTGAGCTCATAGAGCATATGGTCGAGTGTGGAGGCACATCAGATTAAAAAGTTCACGTGTAGTGACATGTCTGTGTGTTTGTGTTGCACTCTCAGGGGATTTATATATATAATGAGTGGATGAGCTGATTTCCTCTTGTTTGTATTTCTGTAGATTGAATATTTGTTGGTTAACAAAACTTGAATTTTTGTAGCTCAAAGATGAACTGTAGTTAAATAAATCAGAAATGTGTCTTTTTGTGTTTGAGAAGTTGTTAATTTCTATTTTTAGGCTCAGAGGGACTACTTTGGAGCGCACACATATGAACTGCTGTCAAACCCCGGTCAATTCATCCACACCAACTGGACTGGCCACGGTGGAAACATCTCCTCTACATCCTACAATGCTTAAGGACCAGCCTCACATCAGTCAACAACACAGACAAGATGGATAGCCGAGGTGAAGAGGACATGTTACACATTCCACACACCCCAATTATCCCCTTAATCCAGCTTTTTACTCCTCTCAGATACGTGTTGCTGCAGATTTATTTATCAAGAAGTGGAATTTTAGATTATGTGTGCTGTAAATGCTACACCCTGTGTGTTCTGCTGGTGCAACAACTTTTATAGAAAAGTCCATCTGGATGCTTTGGTTATCATGCTGGCTTCCAGTGCACTAGTCATGTTGGGCCCAGGATTGAAGGTGTTAACGCTGGATTAGGGTGAACCATTGCACTGTGCTGTGTTAGGCTAAATAAAGATTTCAATCCCTTTATAATTAGCTTGTATGGTCCTTCCTCTGGGTAAACAGGATTGAGGTGTGTTTGTGTGCAGTACTAATTTTAGCGACAAGTGACAGAAGTAGCTTTATATATAAACAGTATATTTGTTTTAAAAGTCCTGTCTTCTGCAGGACACACACTTTGAGTCACAGTGTTTCAGTGTCTGAAGGGTGGATATACATTTCAAACATTAGGAAATCAAATTATACAGTGTTAATTTCACAAACACTGCCAAACCCTAAAAACAGATTAGACTGTTTTTTCCATATGTATCTAGCCCCCTATGTGCACTAAATTAGAATTGTGATATGCAATAATTAAATACTTTGGTGAGATTTTTTTTAAATGAAGGGACAGTTCTCTATTAGAAAATCACATAAATGATCAGAGTTTTTTTTTTATCCTCAAAATGTAAGTTTTCTATTAAGAGATGTACCATCTCGTTTTCAAATGTCATGAAAATGAACAGCAATTTAATGGAAGAAGAAAACCAAGAAAAGGCTGAGGTTTTATAGACACACAAATAGACAACAAAATGTATATAATTTAGATCAAACAGATTAGTGGATAAAAAAACATGGATGGCCAAAGTGGCCAGCAAAATATGAGAAAAAAAAAGTATGAGCAGATCCAAATACAATTAGATGTCAGAATAATGATTAATGGTGACAGTGTCCATCTCGAATCAAGAAGACAGAGTATTCTTAAACAAATGAAATGACAAAATTGATCTAATGTAAACTAGTAAATTGTTTCTGTCCACAGGAGCTTTAAACCTAAAAGCTTTTTTTTTTTTTTTTTTAACCAATCGTTTTAATAACATGTGGACAGCAAAATAAATCTTACTAGAATTCCTAGTGTGATAGTTTGAGGTGAATGGTACAAATTAATACTGTATACAGGGAATAATTGTAGTGGAATGAAATGAAATCATTTGTTATCAGGTTAGTGTTCTATCTGACTTAGTAACAGGACTTAGTGGTCATGCGTCACAATTAATTGACCTTCAAAGAAATGTCTACTGGACCATTTGATTTAGTGTCCTTTCAGTGATTGTCCAGCGGGTGGTGCTAAGAATCTTACACATGTTTGTAAACACAAGGCGACAAATTGTTTATACATCAGCAGACTGTTGTTCACACTTTTGGTTATGTGAAGGCAAGAGAAAGTGGGTAATGTAGATGAATACTTTAGTGACTTTCAACACTTTGTTTTGTTTGGAGCCTGTAGTAGTAATGCTTGTATCATGTGGGAAGATAACAAGAAACTACACAGAGTAAAACCTTGTTGTTACCGTAAGGGTTTCATAAAAGACTGACGGTCTCAACAAAAAATAAAGAAATGTTTAGGCCTTTTAACATATAATCAGATGAAACAATCTTCAGGATTTGAAGAAAAAAATCATGTCATTGTTTTGTCCACTTATTGCCTTTCATTTCTCTTCACTTAGGCAAATTGAGGCATAATATGCCCCATTATACAAAAAATAAAGAAGTAATGAAAGCCAAAACAAAGAACTGTCAGAATACATCACAGAAAAGGGTACGTGAATGTCTGTGAATTGATCAGTAACTGCAAATGTTGTCCAACATTTTTTACATATAAAGATTTGGATAATCACTGCAACAACAAAAAATAGAAACACTGAATCATCACAGCATAACAACAGGTCAGCTAATCTTCAGGAGTATCAATCTGTTCATTTAGAAAGAAGAAGTTGTTATGAATCTGTTTCCCCGGCTTTGGTGCAAACGAGAGATTGATGCAATGGAGAGGAAAAATGTAGTTTTGTTCTCAACAAATCACACATTGTACATCAGTAAAGATTTCAACTTGATTCATTTCATCTAGATCTGATGTGTGATTGACGTGTTCCCTTGATGGTGTCCACAGTAACACTGATTTACTCCTCTCCTCACTTGTTTCCCAGCTCTGCTTTCAGAGCCTTGTCAAGATATCCTCAGCTGTGCTGTCAGTGTCAGCAGTTGAAATAAACGTGCTAATAGTGCTGCTGACCTCAACACCACAGTGCGTGAGTGAGTGGTGTTGTGTCCGACGGGTGTGTATCACAGCTGTTATTACACATGATGTTTAACAGTAAACACAGCCTCACCTCAGTGCATCGTGCTGCTCATTGCTTTGGTGATTGCCAGGTTGGTGTTTATGTCTTAAATTCAACCATCAAGGGATGATCAAAGACCTCCTTGTTTGATTCCTCTTGTTAGAGCATTGATGCTGTAGGGAAATACAGCAGACCAATGATACAAACAAGGTCATTCAAATGCTCGACTGCATGCATACACATCAAATATTATCAACAGGTTTCTCCATCTCATCTGCATTCCTTTTTATCTTCTTTATCAACCCAAAAGACAGAACATTCCTAACAGCATGAGGTATGATATTTTTATGAGGCCTGATGCCTTACAGGGTTGCATTCATGCACTAAAGGCTATTAGAGCACAGTAAATGCAGTTAAGGTGGATAGAGAGGCCACTGAGTCATCTGCAGGCCATGCAGGCAGCAAGGCCACATCAGACTGAGTGATGATGCTCCACAAAGCAGGAGGAACAAGAGCAGACAGAAGACGCAACTCAGTTTAATAAAGATTACACGCTCTCTACTTATGGATTTCTGCAACGAACATCATCATTAACCAAAGAAAATAAAGTGAATATCACTGTCCAGGGCAATTTATTCTTACTGAAAGGTGTAAGTTTAAAAAAAAAAAGAAGTAATTTGATATATATTTAGATTTTAAAGGCCAAACGTTAATCAACTCAAATAGTTGGAAATACTACATTCATTGAGGACAGAATAGTTTAAATCAAACTCAGTGTTCTTAATCTTCAAAATAAAGGAGTATGTCAACAAGTTCAAAAGCGTGTTTCATTTTAGTTTTTTATTGTTTTTGGAAGGCAATGGACAACTTACTCATATACATAATCTGAATAAGACTAAATATGGCAATACTGCAGGTTGCGTTTACAGGAGATGCTTTTTTGTGTTCATGGATCAAAGTAGTGGAAGTGGAAGTACCTTTGAGAAAACTGGCAGGGAACGCTCACAATCACATCTCCGGATCATCCTGCAAACACTTCTACAGAACACATCTGCAGTGGAAGATAACACATCAATTCACATTGGGAGCCCAAATAGTATCACTTCACTTCAACTTAATAGCTAAAAGATATTTGTGGCCACAGCAGGAAATCACCTCCTTCTGCCCTGTATTCATTTCAGTTCCTTTACAGATATTGAGTATTTTAGAGAACTGTAGTCTCCTCTGTTGTTGTTGTTGTTGTTAAGAATAAAAAGGACCTGGGTTATGTCTAAAATATATCACTTAATATTTTTTTAACTGACTTCAAACCAACCACTGAATTTTCCATTACTGTTTGTCAAAATAAAACCTAAATCAAACACCCTTGTCTGCTAGCAGGTAAAGGAACATGTCACATTTTAAACCCATTTTAGGAATTATTTAATATTAAACTGTTTTATAACATCCAGCAGGAATGTATTTTTCAATAGTTTGTTTGTACAAAATGTTGATTAAGGTCTCTGTAGGGAAGCCCCAACCTGACAGCTCTCCTTTAATGCATGTCCACAGGTCCTCTTTGTGCATATATGTATTTAAGGCCTTTGTGTGTGAGAAGCATGTCTCTCATGTATTGTTTTGGTTTTAGAGATGACCAAATATCCAATTAGGATTCATACTCATTCTCAGCTGCTACACTGAAACATATAAACAAGGACATAAAACACATTCTAACACTCCAACTCCAAACCAATGAATATGAGAGATTGATCAAATGTGACTTGATGCCTTGTCCCAAGAGCGATGACAAAATGGAATAACAGCACCTTCTCAGAGTATTAAAGCTACACCTATTAACAAGCCAGCATTAAAACTGCAACGTTAACAACTTTCACAACGGACACCTCTTTAACCAAGAACCAAATCTGACCTTCCAAAGATGTTTAAAAAATGGAAAACTAGTCAAATGAGAGCCTGGGGGAGAAAGTACTTGAACTGACCAACATTTGATCTACATTAACAAGACAACAGGCAATGAAAAACTCAAAACCTTTATTTTACACCGCAATACTAAAATAGTTCAATACAGAAAAGTGTTAATTCTTGCTGGCATTTTCAGTCTGTTCCTTAAGTCCCTTTGGATGTCACTTAGCTCATACATTCAAATCATTTTACAATCAAAGTAAACAATACAACAAGAACGCATGCTGCCTTTTTTAAATGCTTATCACATAAAAAAAAACTTGTTTAATACTTCCATATGTTTTCAGTGACTGTGTGAGGATAAAGAATAAAGCATTTGATGACAGAATAGATGTTTCAGATTTAAGGCAGGCTTTGGATTTCACAAGTTTGGAAAAACAAGATCAATGTCAAACTGCAGGTGAGATACTGGCCCTTCTGATGTGACATTTGCAGGATAAAGTACCTCTACCCAATGAGTATGGTCCACTATAAATTTCATAACAGGATGGTCCCAATGTTCTTGCTACTGATGGCGTACATAAATCTTTTCAGGAGTAAGGCAGACGTGCAGCATTCCAAAGTTGTTTGTGTCGGCCCATCAAATAATGTCTTCAGCTCGTCCACAACCGCCTCCCACCTGGATTCAGACGTAAACCCTGGCTGTCCATGTCCGAAGTCCCTATACATGTGAATTAAAGTGTTGGCAGTTCAATTAATGTAGAGTTAAAAAAAAGTCACTGTCAAGAGTGTGTTATACCTAGCCAAATTCAGTTTTATTCAGACTTCCCTTAGATTCACAAAACATAGAAAATGCATTCGTAACCACTTCAAACACAAACTTCCAATGAGTACATGTCAAACATTCACCACATCAACCTCAAAGCTCGCTTGCAAACGTCAACACACTTTCAGTGTTTGCCCCCCTCCCCACACAGACTTCACAGAGTCACAAAGTCACATTTTCACACAGAGAGGGTGATAACAAGGAGAAAAAAAAAAAAAAAAGCACACAACCAGACACGGCATTCACATCAAATTAGACAGCAAGAAAAAGTGATGAAAGAATACAAATACTCTTAGCACTGGTCTATTCACCTTGTTTTTAAATATAAAACTGATAGAAAACAATGAGAGGAAGCAGAGAACATAGGGATCTAGAGACAACAGTAAATGTCCTTGTGATGGTCAGTAGGGACACACTCTTCCTCTCACACTCGCACAGAGCCACAGGTTCTTCAATGCTCGCAGGCTTTTTTCCTCTTAAAAAAGGTTTCAACAAGCAGTCCTTCTCACACTTCCTTTCTTTCACTGTTTGCCCACTCTCACGTCCAACACCAATCCCACTCATTGATCTCAAAAAAGGGACAAAAGCTGATACGATTTCTTTATCCATTAAAAAAAGTGAAGAGGAAAAAAGACAACACCCACCGTCTAACACAGTATATGCAGAGTGAAGCTGTGTTCTTTGATGACAAAGCATTTACACATGGGAGGAGGGGAATTGATACTGAGATCTGGCGAACATTGCAGCCAATGAGGCGCTTCCTCCCGGGAAATTTGGAAAGAGTTGTTGAACTGCAGAAGAGATTTTCATGAAGGCTTTTCAAAAGACGTCAAACAAAAACAAACAAAAAAGATGCAATCAACTGCATAAACACATATCATAGTAAGCCCTTTTTACAAGGGGCTGAGGGGGCTCTGAGATACTCGTGCATGTTCATAAATATTTATCTAGCATGCACAGTGATGTCTGTGTAACATTTTCTCAAAATGGGGAGTGTGGCAGTTTCCACTTTAAAAAAAACTAAGCTTCACACCCATTCAATGCATGACCACAAAATCAGCCACACAAGTATAAATGTTCTCTTTAACAAAATAAAAGGCAGTGTTATTATTTTAAATTATAGGAACATAAGATATAAGCAGTTCCCCTGTAAGAATACTTACCAGATTAACTCTAATAACAACAAAAAAAGGTCAACTTGAAGCTAACTACATTCCCCAACTAGAAGACTTTGAATCCATAGAGTTGCCAAAGCTGGAGCTGAAGCCACTGCTGGAGGCAGTGTTACTGCCTGCAGCCCAGCCCAGGCTAGCTGTGCTGGGGCTGCTGTAACTGGTGCTGGCAGAGCTATAGGTCTGGTCTCGGGTTGTAGTGGCTGTGCCTGCCGTTGTGGTCAGACCCTGCTGGTTAGCCAGCATGCCCATCATTCCCCAACTACTCTGCAGCGCTGCCTGGGCTGCGGCCACCATTGCTGGGTTAAGACCGAGCGCCCCAAAGTTAACCCCACTACTCCCACTGCCCATCCCACCGCGGTTACTGCCATAGCCCTGACTGAACCCCCCAGCCCCAAACCGCCCTCGATCCATCATTTGCCTACTATTATTGTGTTTGGGCTCAGCATTGGAGATGTGCACACTGACGCCCTTGATGATCAAATCCTCTCCACACAGAGCCTGGGCAACCTGAAGAAGAAGTGAGGAGAAGATTATCACTGAGATACTAAATGCTGACAAATACTATTCAAACTCAGAAATTTGAATCTAACCTGGTCATCGGCAAATGTGACAAATGCAAAAGCCCGGAAAGGTTTGGGAATGAAGACATCTGTGACTTCGCCATACTGCATGAAAAACTGCCTCAGCTCATCTGTCGTCATGTCCTCTGTACAGCGGCCAACAAAGATTTTGCGGCTCCTCATGGGCTCATCTGGACACGCCTGAGAAGACAAAGACAGACAGCACTAAATGATGCATTCTAGACAATTATTTAAGAAAATACTTCTTGCTGGGTCAGAAATTGTTCTCCAACATCACCGTCAATATTATACTTAATATTTTTATCCATTAAACTTCATTGATTAGAAGAAGAAAAGTTTAGTTAAAATCCCCCACTATGACTTGTTCAACAATGAACCGGAGAATGAATCCAACAATAATAAGTTAGAATGAGCAAAAATGTCTAAACAGCAGAAGCCCAGATGATTTAAAGAAAAAGAGAAAATGTAATTGTATTTATACAATTATGTTTCTGAGTATTCTGATGCTGCAGCCACATCTGGAGTCTACGTTAGTACTTGCTTCCTAAACAAGCTAGTGGAGCTGTTCCTGCAGGCAGAGCTTTAAGTCTGCTCCAGAAGTGAGAAGTACAGCTAAATAATGCGTGGCTTCACAAAGACGACATCTATTAAGATGTCAGCATGTCCTTTTTCAAGTTTACAAGTTTATTCAGATAATGACTGGTTATACTTCCTCTACCTCTGGTCTAGTTTCAGGTTTAAGTGTCTCTGCTTGCCGTTTTGGTCGAGAACCTGCTTGTTAGCCAGCACGCCGATTACTGAATACACATAAATAAAAAAGGTAAATAAAGTAGGCCTACCTTGGAATTGGGAAGTTTGCAGTCACACCATCGTCCATCAATCATGTGTCTCTGTGCAATCACTTTGGTTTGTGTCTCATATTCAGTAAACCTCACAAACCCAAACCCTTTTGAGTTGCCGGTCTTTACATCTCTCTTGACCTGAGTGAACGCAGAAGAAAAGGAAGGGTTGTCTTTCAATTTAAAGAGCCAGAAACATGTGATGTAATAACGTGAAAATGATGAACAAAAAATATATATTACCTGCACCATGATGACTTCCCCGAAAGTAGTGAAATAATCTTTCAGATCTTGTTCTGATGTTTTCCATGGCAGCCCAAGGACAATAAGATCCGACGTCTTCAGAGAGCCCCTTTTTATTTTCACAGCGGAGGCAGCATCTATTTCTTCCATCTTTCTTTTGTTATCTGTGAAGAACAAATAGATTAGTTATAACAGGATAAGAAACCAGGAACATGCTGATTAAAAACCTCTAGAAATGGTGTGCAGGGTATGAAATTAAGCCTCCCAGGTCTTTACTGTATTGTGGCGGTGACACACAACAAAACACAACATAATCCTAGTCTCTGGTGTATATCAATATGCAGCTTTAGCAGTCCCCACCTTCTTCTATGAAGGATATGTTGAACCTGACTGCATGGAGTCAGTGAAGGTAACACATGCATACTGGTTGATAAATCCTTGCTCCAACCTACTTATCATAAAGTTGTGTGCAGGAGGGTCTGATATTGATATCTAATCTAAAAATGCATTGTCTTGTATTTCAGGCTTCACATCACAATGAGACAGCAGAGATCTGTTTCCACCACTATGAAAGAATAATATTTTTTTCAAAAAAAAAAAAAAAAAAAAAAAAAAAGGCCAGATTGAAGGCCCCAGTCTGTTTCCAATTTAACCGGTCACTCCAGCTAATTTGATGGTAAAAAAAACAAAACTATTTAACTTCAATGCCCATCACCTGCCTCACCTTTGGGATAATTGACGACATAGACCAGGCTCCCCCAGTCGTTCTCAGGCGCGTGAAGGATACCCTCCACCAGCCGGACTCCCCTCATGCACTGGGACTCTGGGTTCCTGTACCGCAGCCCGCAAGCCCCTGGAAACTGTGCTGCTACCGACGACAGCAACACGGTACCGTCGTCCTCCGAGGGGATCTCCATGGGCTCTTCGCTTTCATCCTCGGCCACACGAATGTACAGCTCGGACATGGTGTCTGACTGGAGCTCGAGTTACCAGTAAAAGACCCGGATGACGCGTTTCTGTCGACGATCCTCGCTGAAGTTTACGTCTAATAACCGGGTGAAAGCAAAAGCAGGCGAAACTGAGACACGCAAAGTTTGTGAGAAGCTAAGACTCGCTACACAACCCTCTTAACATTTAACACCCAGTTAGCTCACAAGCTAAGCAAACTCGAGGCTCCTTTGACAAATGAATGACCACACAGTTTCTTGCCGTGTTTACCGACAACAAGCACACCAAGTCCTCCTGTTGTTTCACAAGCGCCGGGCACAAAGTTGAATATTAACATTGACGGTTGTTCTTTTTCGCGGTTGAAATTTTTTTCTTTTAAGGGGTCGAAATCGTTAAAAAGAAGAGTTGAGTATTTGCGGCAGAAACAACTGCAGCTAACCTCTCTAACCTCAAGCTAGCTAACAAAATGGCTGCGCAACTTGTATGACATCATCCAGTTGGGAGAGCACACTGTTCGTTTCTGGAGGGGTGTCAGCAGTTGTATTAAAAAACGTTTAGTTGATAGTTTGCCCTTCAGATGACCAGTTTTTGGTTATCATTTCTTATCAAGTGTGCATTTTACATTACTGATGGACTTCACCGATGTTATTTGGTTTCGCAAGCTGTATTGTGCGAAGATCTGATCACCTAACTTACCCTCCGAATTCGGACCTTAAGGTTTCACCTCAAACCCAAAACAAAAGGTGCGCACTAAGAAATTCTATTGAAGACTTGTATGTAGGCATGTTGACTAAAATGTTACCATGTGTGGTGCAAAACGCATATTCCCGAAAAAAGCTATAGCCTACTAGCATGTTTGGCTTTTGGTTGACATTTCGAATATCTTAAGAGTAAATTATTTGGTAAAATGTGATGATGACGATGATCTAAAATAGGCTATAATAAAAAAAAAGTGCTTCAATGAGTTAAATAATTAACTTTTCTTAGGTTTTAACTGGAAAGTCTCCAAGAATGCAAAAAAACATTTCTGCAGGAGTATAGACAAGATGTGTATTAAAAATGGTATACTTGAGTAAGCTAGAATAAGGTGACTGGATACAAATGATAGCCTTCATTGTTTTTAAAAAGTTTAAAAGATCATTCAGTGTTATTTTTTATTTTATTTTTTAAAAAGGAAATAGGTCAGGATGTGAAGAACTTCTGTAGTAGCCTTATTTTGTACAAAACATACTTCATTGTTGTTGTTTTTTTGTTTAAATATGTTTTGTCGTTAATAAAAAGGGAATTGGACGAACCCAACTGCATTAGTAACAGGTGTTCTACATTTGAAAGATATACAGGTCTTACTGCTTCCACCCTCGTGTGATGAATTTATTTAGATCTGGCATCTTTTTAAGGCAGGACTGGGGTCTTATTGTCTGAGGTCCAGGTCCATGTAATTAGTCCTGAAAAACAAGATAGAGTTTAAAAAAAAAAAAAAAACATGGTCTGAATGAACTTGCATCACTGGATCACCCTGCTGTCTACATGTGGATCCTCAGTGCACAAAGACCAAAGCAACTTGTTTTCAGACCTACACTGGATGTTTCATAAGGCTTCAATGTCACTCTTTAAAAGACCCCAAAGCAGAACCTCAGACACCATGCTGTGGTTGCATGTTAGATAATAGATAATATCATTTGTAGCTTACCAATCCAATGCTTGACTGAATGTTTCGCCTTTGTCATACTCTTAAGATTTGTATTCTCTAGTTCTCTAAACAGATATGAGGTAATAACTCAAGACTACGTTGTGATGGAATCAGATTCTGAATATGATGGCAGTAAAGATCACTAACACACCGTGGGCAAACCTGATCCAGATAAATATAGACATGAGTGGACCAGACGTTATAATTCATGACAGGAGAAGGCAGGTCTTGACCCCGTTACAATAATCGTGGGAAAGTTAAGATAATGGGTATTTGGTAACCCACTTAAATTATAAAAGCCCATAAGACTACACTTCCAGCAATGTTACCACATGATGTAGCTATTTCTTCAGCAAGCACATTTATATATGTGTTTTTTTTTACAAAATGTTAAGATGACATTCTGAATACAATTACTACAGAGTTCCACTCCTGTGATTCTTCTCACTCTGGTGACCTTCATCTTTCAATCTTTTTAATGTCTTGTTTCCTGTGTTTTTCTGTGTATCTTTCCTTTTTGTCTGATACACTTACATCAGAGTCAAAGGGCTCTCATTACTGGGAGCTCTGCTGCCTCCAGGTGGTGAGGTGCAAGTTTTTATTGAGTGTTTTTTACATTTTCTTTTTTTCAATTTGCAAACGCAGAATATTTTGTCCCATGTAATCGATATAATAAAAATAGAGCAAGTGAAAAACTGATGAAAGAAGTACTGTTATTTAACAATGATGTCATATAGTAAACCTGTTACATTCAAAAACTCAACAACAAAAGTCTAAATACAGATGTAATCTGCTTCTCTGCTACAAAAAGGATCTCTTTTCAAAAAGAACATTTTTTAAAAGAGAAATGTGCTCGAATCCACGTTTCATTACATTCTTCTGTTATTAAGTTTTGGAAACAAAGGTGCATACCTGCCTTGAAAATGATTGTCTATATGGGGCATTCTACTGAATTAGTTAAAAGTGCAATCCCATTACAAAAAAAAAACATTTAACAAAAAAATTAAGTATTCAGACATGGATATTTTCTGAGATTATATTATGATCTATTTAAACCCAGGGCTTTAAATGTGATAAGCTAAATAAATACAAAATCATCATTTATAGTGTACTTTCTATTGAGAAGTAGATGTCCCCAATCCTGACCCCTAAATTTCAATGTATGTAAATACCACTTAAAACATTTTTTAGATTTGTTTCAACTGTGTAATTTAAAAGATATTTATGATTAAGTTTAAACAAAGGTTGAAAGACTTAGATTTATTGTGGGTTTAATTTTTAAATTAAAAAACTATGCTTAAAATATCATGTTCCTTGTTTTCATGTCACTACCGAAACACAAGAGTTTTAGTGGCTTGGCTGAGCCCAGATTTCAGCCACACCCCTGAATTTTTGACCAGGAACTGACATTGCATCCCTATCCCCAATGACTGCATGATAAGCAGCTAAACTTTTTGGGGTTTTATGCAAATTATTATGTTTCTATGGGTGTACACCTCTTCAAAGATGTGTTTGCTAGCCATGTGCTTGCTTGCATTCTTTAATTATGCTCAAAATTAGGTAGAATTGTTTCTATAAGTATCATCATTTCAATCATCTAATTACAGCAAAAAAGCAATTGATAAGTAATATTTGTACTATAAATGGTCATGGATGAACATTTTTCTTCAAAAATAATTTATTTTATTGACCACTAAACATACGTGCTTGTAATATTCCCAACATCAGACATGTTATGAGTTAAAATTAAGCAATAAGTTTGAGGGAATAATAAAACACTACAAAGAAAATACTGGTCACTACCGAAACACTGGTTGTTTTTATATAATACTGATTGGTTAACTGTATGTTCCATCTCATAAATCATTAACTCTGAAATCAATCTGATCTGTGTTTTACATTTTAGAAAGAAAGATTGCACATAGATTTTATTGATTTTATTGTGAAAAATCTTCAATAAAAATGTGTAAAAATAATCTTTACATAAGGGAAGTAAACATAATACTAACAGGTTAACATAATATTGTTTTTATCATAGTTTAATATTATGTTTCGGTAGTGACAAATTTGGGGAGAGGAAATACATTCCAAAACAGTCTAAAAATAGACTCAAATTTGACGATTCTTTTACTAGATATGTGTACTTCAGATACGGTACAATATATATAGGGAAAACATTTTGGGAATAAAACTTGTATAATATAATATTATATATATATATATAATATTTCCAACCTGACTTTGAACCAATTCGGTAGAATGGCCTATTTCTGTTTTTGTTGCAACATTCCCAAATAGTGGAGAAGTGCTCGTGTTTCTTTTCTTTTCCCATAACAAACTTCAACATTCCAGTTAGAAAAAAAAGTAATATCTTTCACTTAAGTAGAAGTACCAATGCAATAGCATTCACAATCCTTTTCAAGCAATAGTGCAGAAGAAATGAATTGAAAATATCAAATAAAGTATCCACATAGTAAAAATAGCCCCTCTCAGTGATGTTATTTCATAGTTAGATTGATTCTGAAGTATTATTTGAAGCAGCATTTTACCGCAGCAGTGCTTCCAATCTTGGGGTGAGGCCTCTTCTAAAGAGCCATTAAATAAATCTGAGGGGGGTCGTGATATTTTATGAGGGTTGTAAAGAAGACAGAAGTTCTTCTACACACTTTTTGGACTTTATAAATGTTTCATAACTTTACCTCTTTGGGCTTGAACAACGTCTTAGGATGTCTGAGGCGTTACGAGAGGATACAGTTGTGAAATAAATGTAATTGTAGGTGCAATATATAGATTATATTTAAGGGAAGTAAATGTATTAGGATGATATAGATATGTACAAGCACCTCAAAATTGTGTTTCAGCATGGTACTTGAATAAATGCACTACTTGGTTACTCCAATGTTCCCATTCATACATTTTATCCTTGATGCTTTCTGAACAGTGACTGTGTCCACAGCAGAAAAAACCTTTACAAATCATGCATGACATACAAACTTTTTGTGGAACTGCTCATCAACACAACTCCAATCTAGGGACAAACACTCAGTGTTTGACTAAAGATTCTTGGAGTGATTGCATTCTTTGGGGCTTCCGGTGTTGCCAGCGCCCTGTGGTAAAAAGGACTTCCAAATAAGACCTCCTTTACCTTGTGTTACCTTAGTTTACAGTCAGACCATATGCAAGAATGTAATTGGAGTTTAGAGACAAGAGTGGATAGTAACCTCCATTATTATGCAGATGCCTTTTTATATAAATGAATGCTTGATCATCAGAAATAAGCCAATATGTTTCTGGATGTCATTACAGCTGATGTTTCTTTCAAGTCTTTTTGCACAGGACTGTTTTTATGAATACAGCTAACAGGCTAGTCTTCTGGCTGAGGCTAAAGGCATAGACAGACTACAAAGGAAAACCAGAATATCTGTAACGCCAAAAAAGTAATGTCTCTTGCCTAAAGATCTGTTGAAGGCATAGGTCAGTTGGCACTTTCTGACACATCTTTTAATAAAATCAGGCAAATTTTTGTTGTTTAATAAGGACGTAGTGTAAAACCAGCTTTGTTTAACAGGCCCAAGCAGCCAGCAAACAGCTCCTGCAGCGGTTTTACAGGGTGGATGTTGTGCTCACCTTCAAAAAGACAAATCACCAAATGCACTGGACCATAGCGAGCACACGGCCATGCACAGGTGAGTGTGTGGCTGATGAACACAGTAAAACTTAAGTGGTGATTAATTATTTGATGATATTTTGACCACAAGCCATTGAAAGGCTTTTACTGTAGTC